CTGATACCGTATAATCTGTAAAGAGCAGAGGTTTTGCTCTCCCAGTGCTGGGGCTGGGTAGTCCAGGTCAAAGTGCTCTCTCTCTACTCTCTGCTCCTAGAGGGCCACCCTCCACCTGGTGGAGAGGAGCAGTTGCTGCATCCTCATTTGGCAGAAGGAGTGGGTACTATATCCTCACATGGCAGGAAAGCTGAAGGAGATGGCCTATTTCCTTGAGTCTTTTTAAAAATAAGTTCCCCAGTCCTGTCCATGAGGGCTCTTACTCCATGGCCTATCCCCCCCTAAAGCCTCTACCTCCTGATGCCATCACATCATGATGATGTTTTAGCTTGAATATTTAGAGGCACATTCAGACTTTGGCCTGACTTACACGTCACTCTTAGTACTATGGTCACTTGAATTTCTGCCTCAGTTAGCTTCTCTCCCATCCTTAGCTGCTGCAAGTGGCTGCTTGAGCTCCAGCTCTTATGTTGTTATTCCAGCCAATAGGAAGGAGGATCAAAGAGGGTCAAAGAAATTAATTATTGAAGGATTCCCACAGGCTGTTGCTCATCTAATTGACCAGAATTTTGTGAGCTTACAGTGAGTTGCCAGGAAGCCTGGAAAATGTCATATGTGCAGCTGAAACTCGGGGACCAAGGCTGGGCACCCAACCAGCCATCTGTATAATTTGTACTTTGGGATGGAATCCCTGGGAGCCTAAGTCAATGCCGATGGCTAAGACTGAGGAGCAGAGACTATTTTTGAAATCCATATGAAGGAAAAATAATTTCGGATTAATTCAGACGTTGAGCTCTGGTAACAGGTTTAGCAAACATCTGAGGCTCCAAGTCCTGCCAGGCCCTGGGAATAGAGGCTGAGTCACAACTAGGCCTTGGGCTCACAAAATTCTCAGGTTGTTGGATTGATCCGTGGTTGCTTTTGGAATTGGAGACATGTATTAGGCAGCAGTTAGGTGTGCTTCTAATGCGATTGTGTGTGTGTGTGTGTGTGTGTGTGTGTGTCTGTCTGTCTGTCTGTCTGTGTCTGTCTCGTTGGGGAGGAGGAACTCCTCAGTAGCATGTACTTCTGGGGCCATCCAGAACTGCAAGAGTAGATGCCCCTCTGCTAGTGATTCAAGGGGAACATTCAAGTCCACTTCCCTCTTGCTGCCCTGGGGCCTGTTTGATGTGGGCCAGAGTCAGCAGGTTTGAGCTTTGTTCTCAGTTGCACCCAGGGCAAATTACTGGGGCTTTGGTTTTCTCATGCCTGTAAATTAGAGCTTCTAAGCCATGTGGGGGAGCAGCCCTGCCCCCAGCGGAATGATGTCATGTCTGGGGGTCGTGGCCCTTTCCCTTGGGGATGCACACAGGGTAAGTTGGTGTGTGCTTCTGACTTTATGGTGGTGATAGGCAGAGCCATGCCCAACAGCCATTGAGGTGACTTGCTCTCAGTTAAAGAGCAAAGGAGCTAGGTGGGCTCTTCCTGTCCTCGGAAGCCGAGGCCTCCTTGCACTACTAGCTGATGGGGTTGGTGGATCACATAAGTCCACAGCCCACTGCAAAGGGAAGAGGAAGTAGTGAGTCATGCATCTCCTCAGGGGCTTGACGGCTGTGTTAGGCTGAGTCCTGCTGGCTTCGCTCTCCTCCCTGATTCTGCTGATTCCACGTAGCTACTACCCCCCAGAGCGGGACAGATAGCTGATGGAGTTCCAGCTGGTCAGTGTGGCTGCTGTCTGGACTCTTGTGTAAGGTCACCCCTGGGAAAGGCCCTGCATTGCTTAGGGACATTTGGGCTGCTGAGCAGTTGGCTTGGAGTTAGGAGTGGAGGCTTGGAGTAATGGGTTCCCATGCCTTGCCTGTTTAGTTTCACCCACTCTGCAATATTGGAGCTGGACAGCAGGACTTTCAGGGTGGGAAACATGTCCTGTAGAAACAGCCTCATGGGATGGTGGCCGCTGGCCTAGCCATCTGTGGTGGGACAGTGGTTTTAAGGAAGGAGCCTTTCTCCAGCAGCTCAGGGGCCTGTGTGTGCTCGTCCTCTGCCCTTTGGGAACCGGCAGCAGGGCCTGGTGATCAGCTGTAGATGTTCTTGGGGCTCCCGAACAGGAACTCTCTTTAGAAAGAGCTCATTGTTTAGTGCGTGTGCTGCATGCTGGGCCCATAGTTACTGGCTCCTAGAAGTTAGATTCTCCTGATCATAATCAAAAATTCTAGAATAGTGTGTATCTTTTTGTGTGTGTGGTGGCGCTTGTACTGGGGATCGAATCCAGAGAGCCTCTGTCACTGAACTATATCCCTGGCCCTTTTTATTTTTTACTTGGAGATGGAGTCTTGCTAAGTTGCCCAGGGTGGGTTTGAACTTGCAGTCCTCCTATTTCAACCTCCCAAAGCACCGGGGTTACAGGTGTGCTCCAGTGTGCGGCTTAGCTTCTTTTGATACATAAATCACTTGCCTGGCTTTAGTTGTACAAAAATCTATGAAATTTAACATAAATATCCAGTGAAGGTTGCACCAGGACAAAACTGTTGTCTTTGTAACCAGTTCCTTCCCCGACTCCCTTCCCCTATCATTGCTTTCTGTCCAAGAGTGGGGTAGATTTGTACAGAACATTGCAGTGTTTCCTTTGGGAGCAGTGGAAAGAACTGTGCGTTTGAAATGAGAACACCTGTAGTTTGAGCCTTGGCTGTGTAACTAAGACGTTTAACTTGGTTGGTTGATTTTCGAGGCTTCAATTTACTCATTAGGACATAATAATAAAAAAAGCCTCGTTGCAATGGCGCAGTGAAGAAACTCTCTCCTTTGCTGATTTTTCCACGTTTTTAAAAAACTCCCTTTGTTTCCTAAAGATTCCTTGTAGTGACCTCGTCTGAAGTTTTATGTTCAGATGGTCTCAGCAGCCACCCAAGCCCCTTCAATAACGTGCTGCAGTAAGGACAATTATTCTGGGTACAAGCTGAGTATGGTAGTGTACGCCTGAGACTGGAAGATCTCCTAAAGTTTGGGGCAAGCTTGGGCTACATAGTGAGTTCAAAGCCACCCTGAACTACACAGCAAGACCTGTCTCAGAAAGGAATTATTCTGGACACAGTGCGTAAAGTACGCAAAACTTAGGCTGAGCTCCAGCTCAAGTCACTTCACTGAAGTGGGCTTTTAAGAGTATCTGACTTTTCGTTACTATATTTATCTTAAGTCTTAGTGCCCTGGAAACAGTTGCACTCACTCTTCTTTTAGATTCCTGTTAGCACATGTTTCTGTGTGCCTGCTGTCTCAGCCCCTTAGTCATTAGTGGATTGCTTCCTTAGGGAATGTGATGATAACTCCCAAGTTGCGTTTCATCCCCTTGAGGAGGGGGGACCCAGGATTAGAGGAAAGCAGAACACAGATCAAGGCCAGGGAGACCCCTGAAAGGCAGGTTCATGTTTCCTTGTTTATACATTGGTATTTATCTTTCATCTGCAGACTTCTTGGTGCATTTAGGTGAGGTGAAGTGCAGCGAGGACCAGGCGGCTGCAGGCAGGGCAAGTCACCCCCTGGGCCTCCTCATTCACAGGGCAGCGCATGTGTTCCAGGAGTGGCTGTAAGGGAGCACCCAGCACAGACATGCTGCCTAATAAGCACCCAATCTCTGTGGTGGCAGTTGGTTAGTGGTGGTGTACCTGGAAGGAAGGGTCACCACCCAGGTCTTTGAAAACATGCACCACAGACCACCAAAATACATGTTATCTTTGATCAAGAGTCAAGACAAATGAAAGCATGGTGATGCACTCAGGGAGGCTGAGGCAGGAAGATCGAAAATTCAAGCTGAGCCTGAGTGATTTAGTGAGATCCTGTCTCAAAATTAGAAATAAGGGGCTGGGGATGTAGCTCAGTGAAAACCCTGGGTTCAATCCCTAGTACTGGGGGTAGGTGAGGGGCCATTAACTTTCTAGAACTGTACTTGCTCTGTGCTCATTTTAATGGCCACTGTAGAGATTCTGTATTTGGGTTGAAGAGATCCATTATTTTTTCAAAGTGGGGGTGGTTGAAATGGTGTAGTTACTGTTCCTGTTACAAACATAAAATAGGTTTTGCCTGTAAATTCAATACCATGTTGTACATGGTACTGGCCATATTCCTGGATCCATGACTCTCATCATTTTTGTTTGGACTTTGAGAAGAAATTCTATCTAGTAGTAAGGGAGTATCCTCCTATAATCTTAGGATCTTAGAAACAGATGCTGGTTAAAGAAAGTGAATTAGACATTTAAAAATGTGTAGTTTATAATTGTGTAGAGCCTTTGGTTTTATTGAAGCATTTACATTTTTGGAATCAAAGTACCTTTCCTATTTTCAGTTGGATTTTTTTTGGGGGGTAGGGGTCTGCATTCCCAAAGTATGAAGTAGTTTAAAATGCTCATCCGTGTTAATACGTAAAAGTGTCATCAAAGTAAAAGAAATCATTTTCAAATAATAATTGAGTCCATATATTACTGATGCAGCAAAAATTCTGTGGTCTGAGTCACACCTTGTACAATGGGCATTGCGCATGAATCTGCATGGACTAGTGCAACAAGGCCAGCCGGTTTTTCTTAGGTTCAAACAAACCAGTCACCTTTATAGGAATTATAAAAAAAAAAAAAATCACATAGCTATTCTTTGCTAGGACCAGTTATTCAAATTAAGTCAACAGCAAGGCCTCAAAATTTGAGCCAACAACAGTCTACATAACTCTTCGCCTTTTATAATTCGGTCAAGTTCCACAAGAAGCCTTCACTTACAGCTTCTAGTGTGTTTAGAGATATTTTTAAATTAATCTTTGTATCAGATGAAAGGAGTTAATTGATAAAACAGTGCTGTGACACCACGGAGGGGGATGTAGGGGGTGGCTGTAGGTATCACTGAACACCACAGAGTATGTAAGCTCGAGGTAATCCTGGAGACACTAGCTGCTTTGGGTGTCGCCAGTGTCTGTGTCCTGAGTCACCCCGGGGTGGTGGCACACATCTGTGTGGAGACCATGGCTGTGGTCTGGCAGAAGGGGCCAGCGGTGGCAGATGGCAGCCGCCGTGTTGGCCTTGCTGTTCACTAGCTGCCCTCGCTGGTGCACCCATGGTAGAGATGTGCAGAGTCTGAGGCTGTCCGAGGCTACTTGGGCACCCCTCGGCCTACGTTCTGCTGCCAGGGCACAGGTAGGTGGATAAATGTGCACTGCTCTCTCCCCTGACTGCCGTCGCCCAGGAGTAGTGACTTGCGTAAAGAGACAGAGGGAAGAACTCGGGATGTCCTCTTGCCTGGTGTGTTCTCCCTCCACCTTTTAATCCATCGTGTAAGAAGCCTTTGATTTCTGCCCTCCACAGCCTTTTCTTAAGGAGTCTGTGTCCCCTTCACGTCCCTGGGCTCTTTTTCCACCAACACACTCGCCTTCTCTCAGAAACCCGTCTCCTCTTCTCTCCTTGCAGTCTTCTGTTTGTGCTAAGATCGTGCAGCTTCTGGGGCAGAACGAGGTGGACTATCACCAGAAGCAGGTGGTCATCCTGAGCCAGGACAGCTTCTACCGCGTCCTCACTTCGGAGCAGAAGGCCAAGGCCCTGAAGGGCCAGTTCAACTTTGATCACCCAGGTGAGCTGGGGAGTTGAAGGGTGTGTGTGTGTGTGTGTGTGTGTGTGTGTGTGTGTGTGTGTGTTTTCGTTTTCGCTGGGAGTGAAGTGCCAATAGACCTGGAAGTATTTCACTTCTGAGTCTGTTTCCCACCTGTAAAATGGGTCTAATCACTACTTGGCGGGGTTATTGTGGAATTACAGGCGCGGAGAGGCTGGGCTTTGAAACACCTTCTGTGGTGGTGGCTCAGGAAGTACTGATGGAGGCTATCTCGAGTGAGGTGACCACCATATCGGATGGGCCAGCCCCAGGAGCCAGTGTGGCCGATCCTTCTGACTCCTCATAGGCCCATGTCACCTCCTCCTTCCAACCCCACGTCAGGGCACATGGCCTGTGTTCAGCTCCCTGACCAGCCCGGAGGGAAACGGGGGCTCCATGGGGCTGCCTGAAGGAACCTTGCCCGACAGCCCCGGTGGGCAGGCTGCTCCTTCTGTTGCTGTGGACTCCTTATGACAGTTGGAATCCAGCCTTCTTGGCACGGAGCCTGTGGTCCTCCCCTAGACATGAGTGTGCCTTCCTGATTTGCATATGGCAGTCCCCGGACAGTCGCTGGAGTGAAAGGAAGAAGAGACGTCTAGGCTAGGAATGGAATGTCAGGAGGAAAAAGGAAGTCAAATTTGCCAGAACTCGTTCATAGATCCAGGGAAACTTTCATATTCTGATTTGGGTAGAAATCAGCTTTGGGGTGATATATTAGTCGCTTTCCTGCTGGGACAAGTTACCCAACAGCCACAGATTAAAAGCATGAGAAGTTTATTGAAGCTCATGGTTCGGTGGGTTGAGTCCATGGTTGGCCAGCTCCAAGGCAGGAATTGCATGATGGGAGAACTTGGTGGGAGTGCTCACAGCCTGTCAGCAAGAAGCAAAGAGAAGGCAGGAGCCAGGACGAGGATATACTTCTCCCAGTTATGCCCCCAGGGACCCTTCCTCTCCTGCTGGGCCCCACCTCTGAACTGGAGACTTTTGAGGGACGTTTTAGGTCTGAACCATAACACAGGGAGGTACAACTCTCCAGGGTGTGATGCACATACAGGAAATACAAGCTTGTAGGATGTCCTGTGTGTGACTACAGAGGAAATGAGTTTAAGAAACATTTTAACAAATTGATTTTCTTCAGATGCCTTTGACAATGAACTCATCTTCAAAACACTGAAAGAAATCACCGAAGGGAAAACAGTCCACATCCCTGTGTACGACTTTGTCTCCCATTCACGGTAAGTGAGCTGTTGTGAACTGGAGCTTGCTGTGTGGTGCAATCCAGAGCATCCCTGGTCTTCACTCAAACCCCCTTACCCATCTCCTGTCTGTAGAATGTGGTCTCGCCCCCGGCTGTAGCTGCCATGGAAGGGTTATGTTGGCAGGTGCTGGGTGTCGCACAGTGGGAAGTTCATGTGGGTGTTTGTGGGAATGGCTTGGTCACTCTGCTTCATTCTCCCTGAAGGCTGGATTCGTAATGGCGCTTGGGTGAGGGACCACACACTTGTACTTTTACACTCTAGGCAAGCGCTCCACCACTACCTACACCCTTAGCCTGTCAGTTGTGACGCATTCCTGAGCCATTGTTCCTGGAGCAGATGTAAAGGGTGAGCTAGAGGAACAAGGAAAACTCTTCTTTCTTCTCTCTTGGCTCACTTGGGATTGGACCAGGAGGGGCTAAGAGCATTTGAGGTCATAGGTGTTTCTCTCAGCATTAACCAAAAGCTCCCAAAAGCTTTTCAGGACAAATTCCCTTTCCAGGAAAGCCTTTATTTTAGTGACCCTAATGAGAAATAGAGCCTTGGCTAGGCTTGTAGCTCTTCCCCTCCCTTGAGTGGTGGGAACCAGCTCCTGGAGTGTCCTCTCCTCTTGGTCAGGGCCACACACAGCTACCTCTCTACTCACCCTGTCCTTATTTTAGTACGAAATCCCTTGGGACTTTGCAGATGTATGCTCAGCTTCTAAATGGCACACATTATACGACCGTGGTTCCTTCCATCTTCTGGGCTCTTGGTGGCCCAGTGGGTGTTTTCCCCTGTGGACTGTGGGAGAGCTTAAACCTTCTGCTTTTCATCCTTCTTTCTTAAATCCTTTATCTCTTTCTCTTTATCCCATTCTCTCTTGAACTTAGTGGTTTTTTCTTTCTTTCTTTTTTTAGTAGGAAAGCAGAACTCCCATGTCTCTGTTTTTCCAGGTGTCCCTGGGGTTACAGAACATCTGTCTCCTGAACAACACGTCTCAGGAAGACTCATGGGTTGTGCACACGGTCTGGCTCTTCTTGTGAGCTGGAATGGGAGTTTGTAGTGAGGGTCCGGCTAGGAGGAGGAGAGAGTGCTGCTTTGCTGCTCTGCTTGTCCCTCACTGGTATCTCTTCAAGCTGCATGAGGTCAGGTTCTGCTGCAGGCGAGATGCCAAGAGATACAACAGATCGAGTTGCCAGACTGTGCAGGAATTAAAGGGCTTAGTGTAGGAATTGGAGCTCACCTGGATGTTGGGACCTGGGAGAGTGGTGGCCCAGAAGCTGGCAGTGAGGGAATAAGACAAGAAAGACACTCCCTGTGGTCTCCAGCCTGCCCACAGGAGCAGAAGCTGGGGTTCATGGAGAGGTGCAAGAGACCACCACATCTGGGCCCCTGGCTGGAAGTGGGAGTGGGTTTGCGCCACTGTTAGCCTCTCCTGAGCATTGTGGATTTTGCTTCACCATCAACTTCTAAGTCTTCATTTGTGAAGTTACCTGGAGCCACATGGGGATGGAATCTTGGAAATTGCAGTCCTGCTTTAGCAGAAAGTTGGTGGTGAGCTTGGAGCACTTCCCAATTCAGGGCATGAGTTATGGCAGTGTGACAAGGCAGGACCTTGGGCCAGAGGGCAAAGGGAGGGAGGAAGCACTGGGGGCTTCAGGCAGAGGGTACAGAGGAGGCGGTATTTAAGCTGTCTGTTGGAAAGGGTAGCTTGTCAGGGAATGGGATTACCAAGTCAACAGATGGGGAGGCATTTCAGGGATCAGCATGGACAAGTGTGGGGCCCTGCAGTGGGCCAGATATGCAGGCATTGGGGGTCAGTGAGTGGTGTGTGCGAGAGGAGGTGGGGAGATGGGCAGGCGCGGATCACACAGGGCTATGGATGTCAGCGCCAGCCACACGAGCGTGCTGGCAATAGGGAGCCACAGCTGGCTGTGATTTAGCAGTGGAAAGATCATTCTGGTGCTGGGCAGAGAAACCAACAGTGCCCTGTATGTGGCATAACCTGTAAGAGCCCAGGTGCTGAATGGTAAGGGTGGTTGGCGGGATCCTGGGCCTGACCACTGCAGAGTCAAGGAGCGGAGGCGGAGGAAGTTGAAAACTGCAGTATGAGTTAGGTCGAGTTCAGATACTAACAGTGATGAACCTTGGGTAGAATTCGCAATCTAGACATGTCTCACCTTTTTACTTGATTTGTCTCATACTTTGTGTTTTAAAACCTTATTTTTCAGTGGCCACAGCCCATCTTTTCTTCCTGAGAAACTTTTCCAGATCACCTTAGATCATAGCAACTCTCAAGGGCAGGGCCTCTTACTTAGAAGGAATCCAGCTGTTTGGTAACATGCAGAAGTCTGTTAATAGCCCAGTTGCTCATATTCCCTTCTCTGATCTTCTTCTTTATTGTTGACTTAGGTTATGTCACACGATCACATGGTCTAGAGTTCTGCATTTCTTTCTTGGGCTTCCCAAGGACTGACTGTGAAGTCTCAGTGGTGGGTAACACCAAGTAGGACTGCTTTTGGGGCTAGCAGTTAATTGCTCAGTAGATGTTTTTTTCAGGTCTAAATTGTTTTGAATATTTTCCTCACCTAGATCTACGCATGGGTGAGGTGAATGAATAATTCCAACTTCGTAGGGTACCAACAACAAAGCCTTCCTAGCATTTATTTCTCAGACATCCTGCTAAGCAAGTCACGTTGTCTGTGAACCTCACATAGTGGATGCCTTCTGTTAGTGTCTTTCAGATCAGACCCCAGGAGGCCCATAAACAGATCCTCTGTGTTGCCCGAGAAGGCTTAGTCATGGATCTTTCTTTCTCTCCACACCCTTACCCTAAAACACAGTGGGCATTCATCTCTCACGGTGTTACTCAACCCCGGCTGCGTAGTAGAAATACCCAGCGAGCTTGCACACAACCTGGAGCTCTAGTGCTGCCCCAACAGTCTTTAAATCGAGGTGAGGGTGGAGGTACAAATTTTTCAAGAAGCCCCAGATGATTTTGATGTGCATCTAAGGCACTCACGGTTCTAGGCAATCTCACGATCATCCTGTTCCAGTCCCTTTGCTGTGCTGTTGTTGTGCCCTGCGTTCTGCCCCAGTGGTACTGGGCGTTGGACTCAGCTACGCACCTAAAGGCCTGAGCTACTAGGAGCCAGGCAGTGTTCACGGGAGGGCAGTTCCAGCTTCTTGCTCTCGTGGGCCGGTGCACAGATGGAGCTCTTTTATTGATTTTGTTCCCAGACGTGAGGTCTTCTGCAAGTGAGGGTGAGTGTACACCTTGCAGTGTGATTGTTTCTGCTTTTGCACTGCATTTGGAGTGAGCGGCGGTAGGGGGCTGTAAGGAAGTTGTAGTTGTAGGACAGGATCAAAAGGACACAGGGACAGTGGAACTCAGGTGGCTCCAATGAAGCCCTGCCTGTGAGACCCCTTTCCCTGACCCCTTGTGCAAGGTTTCACCCATTTGGCTTTGAAAAGTGGAGTTCACATTGGTCTCTGCCCTGGGCTTCCCAGCCCTGTGTGCAGAGGAGATAGGGAAATGCATTTCTCTGCCTTGTCATGGAGCCTTAGCAGCTAGGTTGGGTTTGGAGCCACAGCAGACAGAACTCAGGACTTGACTCTTACTGCCATCCGCTTTCTCTTGCATTGTCTCCCCCACATCCCCCCACAATCCCTGCCTTGGTCTCAGGTCTAGAGGAGGGATTTGGATGGGAGAGGAAACATTTTTAAAAGGTCTGAGCATTCGGTTGCGGAAATGGCAGGCACGAGAGCATTCTTGGCGATGCCTCCAGTGCAACCAGAAGTCACATCTGCTTTTGTCTGACTCTCTTCTCTGTTCCATAGCTGGTTGTTTTATTCCAAGGACCAGGACATCTGCCTTCTACTTCTGCTCCGTGGCAAAAGCTTTGAGAGCCAAGACCTTTGTCCCAGCCGTGCTCGCTCCCTTTTGGCCTTGTGGTGGTGGTGGAGGCTCTGAGAGGCAGTTAACTCAGCCCTTTCACCCACGCTGAACCGGCCAGATGGGCTGGCGCTTGCAGTCTGACACTCCCTTGCTCGCCCAAGTACTCTGGCCCATCCTCTGTTCTGTGCTTTTCAGGAAAGAGGAGACAGTCACTGTCTACCCTGCTGACGTGGTGCTCTTTGAAGGGATCCTGGCCTTCTACTCCCAGGAGGTCCGAGACCTGTTCCAGATGAAGCTCTTCGTGGACACAGATGCAGACACCCGGCTGTCCCGAAGAGGTGGGTCTGACAGCGTGGCCCTGTTGTGACTTCCCCGGGGTGAGGGACACACCCTTGGCCTCCCTGAGTCCGAAGCCTAAGCCTTCCCCGGGCAGCAGGGTGGTTGCATGGCGTAGTCTGGCTGTGTTAGCTCAGCTCCAGGATATCCTGCTGCCCAGATTGTTTGGTGACATTTGAGAAGGGATTAGTCACTTAACTGTTTCGGATAAGGAGAGGCCTGTGAGGTCACTGCGATGAAACGAGAACTCGACAGTGTGTTTCCCTGGGAAAAGTTTACTTAAATGCCCGGTTCCTCATGATTTTTCCACCAGGCGTTAAAACGAGGTCCCTTAATTTCGGAACCAACCACACGCCATCTGGGTAGAGGAGCCCCTTTGCCCGTGTGCTTCTTCATCTGTTCTGAAGTTGCGTCCCCGCGGGCCTCCCTGGGGCCCAGCCTGGACCTACCGCCGAAAGCACGGACATGCCCGTTGGTTGGGGGCTGACTTGGTAACGTCCTGCAAGAGTGGTTAAAGGAACCAGGAGAACGCAGGCACACAGCCCCGTCCTGGGTTTCACCCTGCAAGTCAGACGGAGCCACTTTCACACCGGGCGGGAGGGACACAGCACGACCATGAGAGGGAAGAAAGGATGGGAATGGGTGGCCTGGATTTCAGTCCCCACAGGCCCCCAGCCAGCTTGGTGACTTAGTTGAACACCCTTGGCTGGGGTCTCCGGAGACCTTGAGACAGGCCTGCTGTTAGCACTGTGATTCTGGCCAGGCAGAATTTCCGTGCTCCCTTTGGGTAGACGATTGAAGCCTGAGCCTGACACCCCAACTCCCCAGCCAGCTTCTGCCCCAGAACCTGGCTTGTCACCTTTTCCACGAGTCCCCATCCTGTCCTGTTTGATTGCTTGGTGTCTATTAGTTGCCACATAAGGGAAGCAGCGTGGTGCTTTGAGAAAGAAATTTTGGAGTCAGGCGAATGGGACCACTTACTAGATGTGTGGCCTTCGGAAACTGTTTCAACCCCTTTGTACCTCGTTGTCCTATTGGATGATCGTGTATCTGTTTGTATTCCTGGAAGAGTCTCAAAGATTAGGGGCACCGAAGGGACAATACCTGGTGGCACATGAGTTGACAGAAATCTGCTTCTGCTCAGGAGGCTGGTGTCTCTGCGTCGAAGTGGGACTGGACGGGGCCTCTGCAGGGCTGGTCCTGTCATGTGCTCAGGGGCCGGTGCTGCTGGGCCTGATACCAGTGCCGGTGAGACTCAGTCCCAGGGGTGTTGTGCTGCTTGAGGAAGGCCTTGCTGCAAGGGTGCCTGGGAAATAGCCATGTTTGTCCTAACGGGTCATCATGGTACGGGTTGAACAGAGCAGTTTTCCTCTCTTGATTGGCCGGGGCTCCTTATGTGAAGTAGAAACCCTTGAGGTGATGAGAAACCACCCGCTACATAGGGGGTTCTTGGGGGTAGCTCTAAACCCGTCCTTGTGCTGCCTGGGCAGGTCCCTGCTGTCTTCCCTCAGATCTGCTTTTGTAAATCGCCTGCTGTTGAGTCACCAGTAGGACTTTCCAGCATGTTATCTGTACAAATTCATTCTGTCCACATATACCAGAAACCATGCCTGGCATGTGCCTTTGGGGTGGGACTGCTGGCGCTGAGCGTGGCGGTTGTCAGGAACAGCCTTGGGAATGTTCCTGGAGGCTCGGGTGAGCGCGGGGGGTGGGGGTGCCTTGCCATCTGCCTGCCATACCCCATGGGCTTGTGACCTTCCCGTTTCAGGCTCTCACGGGAGTAACAGGGAGACACTCCTTCCTCCTGGAAGCAGGCTTGGCTTCTAGTGTGCTCCCCGCTCTGTGCTCTTAACTCCAGCCCACTGTGAAGAACGGGGACAGACAGGAAGGGGACGGGGCATTTGGGGCTGTGATGCCCCTGCCTCGCTCTGTGGCTTGCTCATGTAGTGCCTGGGCTGCAGTGGGCCTTAGTGCTGCTCGTTCTCATTCTGTGGGTGTCTTCACTGTGGGTCTTTCTAAGTTTGCTCCTGGCTTTAGCAGACCACAGGGAGCACTCCTGGTGCTACACGTGCATAGGCATTTAGCCTCCTGCCCTTTACTGTGTCCTCCCGGGAAGCCTGTCCTGGAGGGGCTGGGGTCAGTGAGGGAAGGGCTTGTTTGGAGTCCCTGGAGTTTCTGGTTTGTGCTGAGGTCTTGACTTGGCCCTGTCTGCTGGCCCTGCCTGAGACCTGCCCCAGGTTGTCTTCGGTCTGCTCATGGTGATCCCCGGGCAGCAGAGTTGGCAGTGCCTTCTTGCATGTTCCCGGTGTCTGGCTGTTCCCGACCTGTCTCCTGTGCCACGACTTCTCTGAGACCCCATTGCTCCCCTGTACTGTCTTTGCTTGTGTTTATGTCCCTTGTCCTCCAGTGTCCCCTCTTACCAGGTCTGGCTGGCAATGTGCCGAGTCTGGAGTCCACCTCCACCTGGTGCGCTCAGGAGACACCTGTCCCCCTAGGGGCCTCCTTGGGTCCTGCTGGAGTCCTCAGAGCCTCACTGGCCCGCGCACCAGGACCGGGCCACCTGCCGTGTTGGGAGCTCAGGCTCCCTACACTGCAGCTTTATGAAGAGGCCAACTTCACTGCCTCTGGGTTAGAGCAAAGGGGAATCAAGATGCAGAGAGAAGTGACTTGTCCAGGGCTCCAGGGATAGCAGTGAGTGTTACCCCAGGCCCATACCCTCTCACTGGAAGAGCCAGATGCAGCATTTGGGCCACAGCACGCCTTTGTGTACTATCACACGCACCCTGCTCTCCACACCACCTGCTGCTTCTCTCCAGGTCTGTGAGACCTGGGAGCCAGGTGACAGGGCCTTCTCAGAGCCAGTGCCACCCACAGTGGGGTGAAAGCACACATTGTGAGCCCAGTCAGGAAGTAGAAGCTGCAGGAGGCCGTGTGTGCCTGCTCCCTCCAGCTCTGATAGCCTTTTGGTCTGGTTTCCTCTCTCCTCTGCATTATCTGGAGTCACGTGCACAGGAGGCTGCCCTGGCTGTGTGTTGTGGCTGCTTGAAGTGTGTGCCCAGCTCTGAGGGCACGTGGTTTGAGCCGCGTGGCTGTGCCCCTCAGTTTACTTATAGACCCTGGGGCGTCTGGAGCAGGGCTGCGCGGTAATGCCGGAAAGCCGTTTCCTGCAGGGGAGGAATCGCTTCGAGGACCTGGGGCTGAGCAGCAGTCCCAGGAGGGGAGGCAGGCCCTGACCAGGGGCGCACCAGGCATTTATCAGGTGCTTGTGTGGAAAACACTTCGCTAATCTGGGAGCCGAAGCTCGATGGTGGTGGTGCTGGTACCTGGCTGGAATGACGGTTTTCCAGCCCTCGGGTCTTGTGAATGTCCCACGACACACTTCCTCTTTCCCAGTCCATGGGCGCGTGCGTTACCTGATCGTTTAGAGACGCGGCTTCTGGAAGCTCACTCACGGGGCTCCTGTGCATTTCCTCTCTCCCGTGAGACTCAAGACTTGCTCGAGGAGTGGTTGAGAAGGAGCTCTTGGGCTCCTGCAAAAAGACCGCAGATGGATGTGGTGGCCGTTGGAGGCTGGAGCGGCAGATAAAGCGGTTCAGGAAGGAGATTTAATGGGACAGCAGCTGGGCTGGTAGACTTTGACCGCAAGCTCCCTACTTGGGGAACTGAGGCTCGGTTTAAGGGGTCCGTGGGCAGCGCGAGTGCCAGGATGATCGGGTCCTTTGCTATTGTTGGACAAAAGCCTGGGGTAAGCACTGTCTGGTGAAGCTGGGCGCGTAGCACATTGCTGTCATCCCAGCACCCTGTGAAGCCGAGGCAGAAGAGTTACAATCATCATCCAGCTTGGGCGGTTTAGCGACTTCGACCCTGCTTTGAAATAGAAAATAAGAAAAAACGTCTGGGGACGTAGCTCAGTGTGAAGGGCTCAATGCCAAGTACTACAAAAAGAAAAAAAGTTTGGTGAAAGTCCCTGAGTAAAGCAGACCAGAGAATATGGGATATGCTGGATCTGGGTCGCTTTGGCGCCTTCAGGGCCCTAGCACCCCATTCCTAGGTTGGGGTTCTCTCCCTAAGGATTCCTGTTTGCAGGTCTGCACCCAAGGTGAGGAGAAGTGTTTCCACCAGCAGCTCCTCTGCGTACCCCTCCCTCAGGGGCGCTGGCAGTGGGCTGACCCTGCATTTCCGTACACGGGTGAGGGGCCCAGAGCCAGTGTTTCCTCTTGTCAAATGTGCTTGAAATAAGAAGGCTGTTGCGCCTAGTCAGACAGCCCCCCCCCTTTGTACAGAGAATCAAACTCAGGACCTTATGCTTACCAGGCAGTAACTATTGCCACTGAACTGCATCCCAGGCCAGACAGCCTTTTGTTTGAGAGAACATTTTGAAGCAGAATTTGATGGTAGTAAAACTTAGAAATGTAATTTGTTGCCAGACATGGTGGCGAAGGCCTGTAATTGGAGCACTTCAAGGCTGAGGCAGGAGGATCTAAATTTTGGGACCAAAGTGGGCTTACACACAAAGTGAATTCTGGCTCCCTCCCACCAAGTTTTTTTTTTTAATTCCTAAACTGCTGCTACTGGGTCCTTGCTATAAAGCCTCTGAAGACTTCAGTGTGATTCATCAGGATTAACTGGGAGCCTGGTCACTGAGGGAAGGGCGGATCCTGCAACATTGTCTTGTTTTTTCTTCTCTTCCAGTTTTAAGGGACATCAGTGAAAGAGGGCGTGACCTGGAGCAGATTTTATCGCAGTACATTACATTTGTCAAGCCTGCCTTTGAGGAGTTCTGCTTACCAGTGAGTTGGATTCGCAGTTTTTTTTTTGCTCAGAATAGCCCAGGAAATTGAACTTGCAGGAGTGACGGGAGTCTTGACTCTCACGCTTTTCTCTGAGTGATCCCTGTCCTGAAGTTCTGGGAGCGTGCAGCCTGGGACCCTGTCTGGTCTCTCAGAGCTGTCCTGCACTTCCTCCCCCAGAGCCCTCTGGGGCTGTGACTCCCAGCAGGCTTTGCACTTCTTCCTTAGTGGGGCTTCAGGGACAGACTTATCTGTGAGGGGTCCCTATAGCTAATGACAGGCTCAGCCATAGGGGCCTCGGAGTGCTGCCCCCTGGTGGTCCTTTTCCCCGTGATTTCCCCCCATTTGTAAGTGGTGTGCTCGCTCCCCTGGCACAGTGCGTCCTCACTTCGTCTTGGCAGACTTAGTGGTCACAGCTGGCCATACTCTGGGAGATGCTGGCAGATAAGGCAGGGCCAGCACTCCGTTTGGAGATGCTCGCTGCATCCTGGGAGAGATGAGAACAGGCGTGTTGAGAGGGGTGCATGGACTGGGGCCACGGTGGAGGAAGACACGGGCGCAGCCTAGGGTTAGAGAGGAAGTGGTCGGCTCTGGAGAATCCTACACCCGAGTTAGCATGCCTTCCCTGGATCGGTCCAACCTTGGGCTGACTCTTTAATGACGAGATATAGTGGAAATGTATGGTGAATGTTTAAATTTAAAATTTTCATAACAGTAGAAGACACATTGCCTTTAATTCCCCTCAGAATGCTCTCCTTGCTGTGAAACACTTTTGTGTCATTGCTCTTGCCCCTCCCTTTCTCTCCCTTGGAGACAGGATCTCACTGTGTAGTTCAGGCTGGCCTTGAACTCACTGTGTAGCCCAAGGTGGCCTTGAGCTTGGGGTGATCCTCCTGCCTCAGCCTCCTGACTGCTGGGATTGTAGTAGTTCTGAAAAGAATGATGGGATAAAAGGCAGTGAGCCTTTTACTGCTAATTAAAAAAATCATTTTTAGATCATACCTTACATTTACTAAGATCTGAGCGACACACAGACAGAGGAGTGGTTGGGATTCAAAACCTGGTTTTGAGTAAGATCTTTTGGGATGACCCTGAACTTAGGCTGAGGGGAATTCCTGGCCAAGGGAACTCCTCTGTCCCGCGGGTAGTTTCTTGCTTCTTTTCTTGGAAGACTGTTCCGAACCTCACCGTGTGTAAGCCTGATAGCAAGCTTTATGTCAAGCCAGATTTGACCTTGGTTTCTGGTCAGGAACGGGACTTTCTGACCTTTGCTCCTTGCTCCATGCTGTGTGGGGATGTGGTTTGGGTTCCTGGAGTCAGATACCCAGGGGCTGTGAAATTCTTTCCACCCACTTAGCTGTCTGGGGCGCTTCCTTCTCTTTTCCCCATAATACTAAGAACACAGAGTGAATTCACACTGGATTTCATCGTCCGCCCTGCTTATTTTCTCCATCTACTGTAGCTGGAAGGAGCAGAAGGTTCTGGACAGATGTTTTCTGGGTGGTTCTGCCTCTTTGCACTGGGCAGCTCCTCTGTCCCTGGGGAAGATGAGCTTCTGCCCCTGAAAGCCAGGAGTTTGGCCCTGAAAATGTCAGAGTTCAGACTGGGCTGGGCCTGCTGCAGTTAAATGTGCACAGTCCTGGCCCCGGGTCAAATGCCAGGATACACTTATATGAAGAGCAGCCCCATGATCTCAGTAAATTACAATAAAACAAAATACAAAGGAAGAATATATATATATATATTTATGCCCTTGCTCAAGTTTTTTTTTTTTTTTCAAGACAGGGCCTCACTATGTATCTGAGACTGACCTGGAACTCACTGTGTAGCCCAGGGACCTGGCGCTTGTGTCCCCAGGCTGTGGGGCTGCACACGCTCGTAGCTGAGCTGTAGCAGACGCATGCTGGCCTCTCCCACCTGAATTCACTGTAAATGTCTTTCTCCACAGACAAAGAAGTACGCAGATGTGATCATTCCTAGAGGTGCGGATAATCTCGGTAAGTCTCATGCGGTGGCTCCTGTGGGATGGAACTTTCACCATTTGTCCGTTGAAGTTCATTTAGGGCAGGTTGTGGTGACCCAGCTGGGCTCTGCCGTCAGTGAGTCCGTGGGGCGCTTCTGTCCACCTGGCTGCCCTTGGGGACAGGCCCCTGGGAGCGTGTACTCCCCCTGGAGATAGGGGGCGCTAGGCTGCCATGTGCTGTCACCACCTAGGAGTGACACGTGGGTAGTTTCAAGAGACCACCTTTCAGCCAAAGTGCTTGACCTGCTTACGCTGCTGTATAATTCAGGATGATCTGCCATCGCGCTACACTTCTGGAAAGGAGCCTTGCTCCTTAGAACGCTCCTGTGAGGGAGACACCTTGGCCCAGCCGTTGCCCGCAGGACCAAGTGACTTGTCCTCGAGTGACCCTGGCCGCAGTCGCTGCCCCGTCCTGCCTGTGTCCTTTGTCCTCCCCTCTCCACCCCACCCTGACCTGCTCTTTCCGCCCCTGCAGTGGCCATCAACCTCATCGTGCAGCACATCCAGGACATCCTCAACGGAGGGCTGTCCAAGCGGCAGACCGGTGGCTGTCTCAACGGCTATGTGCCTTCGCGCAAGAGGCAGACGTCGGAGTCCAGCAGCCGGCCGCACTGACCCCGCCATCTGCGGAGAGCACCATGCCCCTGTACATACCGGCTCCCAGGACGTGACTGTATTTAAGGAAACACCACGGAGATGACCTGCCTTGAATTTTTTCCTTTATTCCTTGTTGTACTCTGGAACGGTGAAGTCAGAGCAGAACTTGACCTTCGGCTTAAGGGACAGACTGTGCCAACGACTACTGGTGATGCCTGATTATGAATCCAACGTGTAACCAGTTATAAATACATATTATATATAGATATATATATAAAAGGATCTATTTTTGTGTAAATGTACAAATACTGTAAAGCTATTGGCCATAAGTATTTTGCAGGGCCTATGATTGAGTGTTTGGGGCCTGGTACGAGAGTGACATTAAAGGGGACCTGGGGAGGTGCCCGGCCAGCGGAGGGGAACTGCAGCTGTCTCCTTGCTCTCGGCACCTGTGGAGCTGATGGTGACGCCTCCCCGTCCCACGCCACCTCCTTGCAGTTGGCGCTTGGTGTGCTGACGAGGGACGCTCTTGTCTTTCTTGTTTTCTTTTCTTTTTTGAGTTGAAATTAGGCAAGATCTCAACTCAGTTCAAACTCAGGGAAGAGGCCCACCAAGGAGAGCAAGTCTTCTGTGTTCCTCCCTGCTCTGCACCCCCGGCACCCCCACGGCTCCCTCCTCTCCCTGCCTTTCTGCCTCTCCTTCCCTGGCCAGGCTTTTAAGGACGAACTGGGGAAGGCGAGAGTGGAACCTGGCCTGCTCAAATGTCCCCTCACCCCCCAGTGAGGTTTCCGTTCAGACCCCTTGGGTAGTCAGTCTCCTGTGTTGGGGAACACGCAGTGGACCCTTGCGGTCTGGGCTTTGATCGGGGACACCTGGCAAAGGAGATCGGGCCACATGAGTGACAGCAGCTCAGCTCCTAATTATCCCTGTGACCTGTGGGTTCTCAGTGGCACGCGCCTTTCCCCGGGGATTCTCAACCACAGGGCAGGGCGATGGACTTAATCGCAGTATCATCACATGAATGGTGCCACTGCCGGGTGGGAGGGGCCCGGGGAGAAGAAAACCTTTCCTAAAAGTATTTTAGAGCCTGGATCCCCAAGTTGAGGTCTTAGTGGAAAACATTTTGGGTGGACATTTCCAGCTCTCTGAAGAGTTTCCTCTCCACAGGAGCTTCTTGTGTGCAGGAAGTGGATTCCTGACCTTCTGCTAGGAGGGGCGGAGGGACTGGGGAGACGCAGGAGGCCGAGGCGGTCTGATGCCTAGCCTGAAGCCTGAGTTTCTAGCTGCAGAAGAAGCAGGGATTGTCGTGTCAGCAGTGACTGTTCCATCATCATTCACTGGCTGTTGTCACCTGCTCCCCTCTGGAGAGCCTTCTTTCCGTGTGGCTCTTGAGGCCACTCAGCCCTGCAGGTTATGGTGACTCCGCCTACTATCCAGTCACACCGAGCCTCCCTCTCAGACTCGGTACAACATCCAGTTTGATTCTTCTTTTCTGGATTCAAGTTGTCTCCAACTGTTTTGCTATTTCAGTAAAGCCATCCCTAGTCCTCAGCAGAGCTTTGCTGCCCTGAGCCTTCAGGAGGCTGTGCTGCAGGGCCTGATGCTGTTCCTGGGGTCGGGAGGGCAGCCCGGTGCTCACTGCGATCAGACGGCCTGTCTTTCTTCTGGTTGTGCTGTGCACAGTTCTGAGTTGAAGGGGGATGGAGGCCTGGATTAGGACCCCGAGGACACAGCCCTGGCCTTGCTGGGCCTTCTGTGCTGGGGGATACCTGCCTCAGTCTGGGGGCGCCTTGGCCTTCAGTGGCTCGCATGCTCAACTTTACTTGAAGCTCCCAGGTGCCAAACCATTTAGTGCCTTGGCTATCTGTCCCACTGCCTTGGGAGAGGGATTGATTCTTCTCTTCTCTGAGCCTTTAATCAGCCGCTTCCTCATTTATCTACCTGTGGTGTTGGGACCAAGCCCCCAGGATGCCCGAGTAGCCCGTTCCTAGCTTGGGACACAGCTCCAAGGGGGCCTCATCCCGCCGCCTTGTGAAATGACCGCCAGTTCTTGGTGGCTTGGCTGGACCCCGTGACACTGCGTCTGGGGAAGGGATGGGAGGCTCTGCCCCTCTGTGTAACTCGGCTTTCTAGTCACTTGTGTATGTGCGCTTGAGCTTTCTTCAGGACAGATTGTCGTCTCTGGACCTCTGGTGGCACTACAGTCAGGGGTAAATGGTTAGACCGAAAGCTGTGGCATTTGCCATGTTGCACTGCCATGCAGGAAGGAGGCACCAATGTGCAGAGCGGTGTGGTGTTGGTCACGTGTGTGGGATCCCTTGGCTTCACAGCCACCAGCGGTGCTTGCTTCCCCCTCCGTGGACCAGGTATCTGGGTGAAGACTTCCACATCTGGGCCACGGTAGGGCCTGGGCTCACTCCGTCACGCTACTGCACCTTCTGCTGGCCTGAGTTTCTCATCGTTGGGCAGCCTGGGACTAGGGCGGAGAGACAGGAATCTGAGAAGGGTACAAGTGTGACCTCGGTGGGCAGTGTAAGGAGGCAGCAGGGCCCGCAGAGGAGGGCAGGGAAGGGAAGGTCTCCCTGCACAGGCGCGGGGAAGTTGGCTTCTCTTCTGCCCTTGGAATTGATCCTTGTCATCATGCCTGGGGCAGATGCCAGGTTCTAGAGGCCACTGGGTCAGGCTGGAGGCTTGTGTGATCCCAAAGCAGTTGGGAGGTGCGGAGACCTGAGCCTGGCTGGTTGTGTATTAGCTCATTCCTGCAGCCTCCTCGATATAGCAACTTTGACCTGGGCCAGCTCCCGAGACGGTTGGAGGGAAGTGGGCTTCTGCAGGGAGCTGTTCTCCACCACCTTGGAGTCTGTGCCCGTCAGGGATCAAGGAATGGGCTGGTCCAGGTAGGAAGCTAGGGCTGGTCCCGGGGTACAGGTGCAGGACGGTGCCTCCAGGAAGAGGCAGCTGACTTGGTTGCCATCCTGGCCCTTGGAGTGGAGCAGGGAAAAATTCAGGGTGCCAGCTGGGATGCATCTGGGCCCTTTCTGCCTTGGGCTTTTGCTGCTCTCTGTCCCAGGTGCAGGTGACAGGTGTGACAGACCAGCTGTGTTACTGTCCCATGGCAGTGAGTCCTGCCTCGGGATTGAGGTGAGCAGCCAAATAGACTTGGGCTTTTCTTTCCCTTTAAGGTGCTTGCACTCCCCGTTTTCTTTCTGTTGCTTTACCTTTACTCTTGGTAGTTACGAAAATGACCACATGTGCTGTACCTTGCTGTAAATAAAGACTGAACAGAAAAAATCGAGCTGTCGCCTTTTTTGTGGTGCCAGGACAGGTGCATCCCCTGAGCCTGCTGGCTGCGGGGACCCCGCCCTTGCCTGACACCTGGCCTGCTGTGGGGGAGGCCTGGGATCCTGGGAAGTGTGGCGCTTACCTTCGGTGAGGCACTGGTGGGATCACACTTCTCAGCAAGCAGAGAGCCTGGGCCAGGGGTTCTGGGGGTGACTTGGTTCTCCAGACGTTCAGGCTCTGTTCCCCGTGTCATCTGGTCCTTCTTCCACTTGCACGCGGAGAACAAAAACAAAACCTAAGTGAAGTAAACTGAAGGGGGTGGGAATGCGAAACATGGAGGAAAGCTCGCCTCGTAAACTGTTTCCAGCTGGATACACAAGCACACTTGGCGTACTCTGCAGTGAGTGAATGTGTACGTATGTCTCTCTCTCTCTCTCTCTCTTGCTCTTTTTTTTTTTTTTTTTTTTTTTTTTTTTG